TGTGTGTGTGTGTCTGTGTGTGTGTGTGTGTGAGAGAGAGAGAGAAAGCGGCCTGCGCTGTTATAGTTTACCTTTGACCTTTTGCTTCAGTTTCAAAGTTTTGAGCTCGCAAAACGCTTAACAGGTTAAGATCAAACGCTGGGCTGGTTAATAACACATTAATCTTGTCAGCCTCCTGTGTTAGTGGATGGCTGTGCCACCCAGTCTGGTATTTCTTGTTGTATGTGCATATGAATACATGCCTTCCAGAATACGGTTAACTACTGTTCACCACTGTTTGAATTCACAAAATTGTTTAGGTTATTCTTCTGTAATGCATTAACACAGTGTATTTTTGTGTGTGTGTGTGTGTGTGTGTGTGTGTGTTTTAGGTGCGTGTGGGATCCAGGTCCCTGTACAGGCCAGTTTCTGCTGCTGTGCTTTCCAGACCAGAGGTCAAACCAGAGGTGATTGTCAAACCTGCCTTTTGATTTTCAATATATCTCTCTTCATTTACAGTAGCTCTTAACGGTCATGCTTTGTAGACGATGTACAAGGCATCAGCGTAAGAATAACACAAAAGATAAAGTGTAACTTGATCTACTTCTTTGAAATAGAGCTCTTCTGATCCACTGCAAGCATGCTACCTGGATAGTTCGCGCAAAAATGAAAACTGTCATAATTTTTCCACCCTCATGTTCTAGAGGTCGACCGATGTATCGGTTTTGCCGATTAATCGGCACCGATAGTTGATTGCTGGAATTATAGGTTATCGGCAAAAATCCATGCCGATAGTTTTCCGGGTTGCGTCCGTTGCTGGAGCGGCTGAGAAGGGTCTGCTGTCATTACACAGTGCGAGAGCGGCCTCTAGTGGTTGAAATCACTGACAGCACGTGCTATTTGTTTAGACACGTGATACTGCACGCTGAACAGAGCGGGAAACTTCAGACGCGGATTTAAATGCAGCCGACAGAAAATCCTGCCGTGCCATTCACATGGTTTTCCATTAAATTACATTATATTTGTCGTTGTTAATTGTTGATGAAACGTTAATCGTTGTTAATGTACATAATGAATTGTGTATTGTGCATTTTCAGCGAAACGTTTCTTTCTGTGGCTCTAATAAAGTCTGTGTGCTTCATTTATAGAGCTATAATATAGATCGCGCTTTCTCTTTCCGTTTGCTCCGTTTTTTAAACACCGAACTTTATACTCATCTATGCCTCATTGTTCATTCTTGAAGTAAACTTGTGTCCGTTTGGTGATTAAATAAACTGTTTTAGACCGCTGCTCGAGTTGAACGTGACGCGTCCGGAGTGTGTGTGATACCGGTGAGTTCTCCTAGACTCAGCGCTGCGCTTTTATTTTGATTAGATAATCATCGGTATCGGCAAAATCCACTATCGGTCGACCTCTATTCTAAATACTTTGGTTAAGCCTAAATTAAATCTGTTCATCATATAAAGCGATTGTATCTCTTTATATGACTTGGATTAAAAAGCTCTATTCATATCTTTTTAGCTCTGGGCAACGATTAATCGCATCCAAAATAAAAGACATACACATAGAGTATATATTTTGAAAATATTTACATGTATTTATATATTTATATTCATATAATTTATATTATATAAATATATAAACATAACATAAATATATACATGCATGTGTGTGTCTTTATATATACATAATAAAAATACACAGTACACACACATATTTACAAAAACTTTTATTTTGGATGCAATTAATCGTTGCCTAGCACTATTACTAGTAATCCGCGCTCAGTCTCAAACAGCTTGTGAGCCACAAATACCAAAATGAGTGGCTAACTGCGCTAAAACAT